CGGCAACCACATGTGACGACCCCGGGCTGGCCTCCTCTTCGTCCACAGTGAAAGCCGATCTGGCGAGCCACAGCGCAAAGTTGTTGTATTTCCTCAGCAATCAGCATGGATCAGCTCCAGGCATGACGAAGCAGATATCGTCCTCTTTTTGAAGACCAAACAAAGTAGTTTCGCTTTCACAACGAATCACACAGCACCTTCACGACATGGCGGCGGCGGCGGCAACAACAATACTACAGCGAGAATAAAAGTTACGCCTTCTTTCTTTGCATGAACATTTGGGCGGTGTTATGCAAATCTTCCCACATAGCCGTTTTAGGTAGGCGTGGCTGACTCTTAACTTTTATAAAGAATATCTCTTTGTATTTGAGACTTTAGTCTTTGCAACTTTACAGATCTTCTTTATGCACCAACAGCTTGTAACACTCCAAAGAGAAAGTAAAACTTGAAATCGCATCATATGACCACTTTAAAGAAATTCATACTTTTATTCAGGAAGGATGCATTCAGTTGATCAGAAGTGACACTAAAGATATTTCTAGTGTTACAGAAGATTTCTGTTTCAAATAAGTGCTGTTTTTGAACTTTCTGTTCATCAAAGAATGCTTTTGAACAGTAATGTATATATGACGTTTTTTCTTGACAGTCTGAAACTGAAGCTCCAAGGCCCCTCCCTCAAACGAACCCCACACCATCTCCAGGTTCCCTGCTCAAAGACTCATCTTCCTCAGAGTCTGATGACTTCATAATGGTGCCAGCTCAGTTCACCAGTAAGATGAGCCCTTACACTCATTGACCTACTTTGTATTATTTAACAGACAACAAAACCACTTTATTTGCACAAATACAAAATCTCAATCTGATAACTCTTGTAGGTGAACTAGTGAGTGCAGGAGGGCAGGAGTGTCTGATGCGCAGCGGGTAAGTGGGTTTACATTTTCCCCATACTATAAGTGTTAAAGTGACACAGCCCACACACATCGCGTATATAGTTACATGTGACACACTCCTCAACTGTAGCCTGCACATTTATACAGCACACATGCGCAGAAGCATTTTGTTTCTGCACTTAATATAAAGGTTTGCATGCTTGCCAGCATGTCACGTGAATATTCATTCCAAGGGTGTCAGTTGACCTTTTGACCTACTGACCATTTTTATGGTCCTGTGAAGAGGGCTGTTCATGCGTTGACACATTTGTGCAAAGAAAGAGGGAAGACCGGTCATGATAGCAAAAATTGCTTTCCTTTCCACAACAAGTTTTCAAATACATTCTAGCAATGTTTTAACCAGTCTAGTTAATAGACTAGTTAACATGCACGTTTGCAAAAGTTTGAGGTCAGTAAGATTTTTTTTAAGTCTCTTATGATCATCAAGGCTGCATTTATTTGATCAAAAATACAGTAAAACAGTAATATTGTGAAATAATATTGCCACTTAAAAAAAAGTTTTCTATTTTAATATATATATATATATTTATATATATATTAAAATGTAATTTACTCCTGTGTTTTTAAACAAGTCTGAACAACTCTTGCAAATCTATACGAATCAAGATAATTTTGACAAACTCTTATCACATTAATTACAAATAGCTGGAAAGATCATGAAAATCAGTGTTACTATTAACTAAAATTGCTATTAAATTAAAAAAAGTTAGATAATTTAATTGAATCTGAAATAAAAAACTAAATTAAATAAAATTAAGTTTAGTTTAAGTTGAAATTGAAGTACTAAAATTGCTCAAATTAAAACTGAATGAAAAATTACTTAATTTACTCCTGTGAGGGCAAAGTGAGCATCAGAGACTTCTTTCAGAAACATTAAGAAATCTTACGAACCCAAACTTTTAAACAGTAGTGTATATTAAACAGCTGGATGGTTTAAGCATAACTGTGTACATGTATGTGTACTATTTCTAGAAGCTCAGTGCCAGGTGTGGGTCGGACACCATCATCCTCCCCATCTGTCAGAGCCTCTCCAAGCCCTTCCAGGTACTGTGTGTGTTTTAGTATGGAGATTAGCATTTAATACTGTAAAAACACACACACACACACTCTCTCTCTCTTTCTCTCTCTCTCTCTCTCTCTCTCTCTCTCTGAAGGCAGCTCGTATTAAACAAAAGGCTTTGTTTGCAAGTGTAAAGTGAGAGACAGCTATCTGAGTTAACGTGACTGGAGAAAGCGTGAATTCTAGAGATGAAAGTAATTCACAGATCACCAGGGAACAAATGTATGTTTGTGCACATGACATGTCAATCATTCACCCCTCTCTCTCTCTCTCTCTCTCTCTCTCTCTCTCTCTCTCGCTCGCTCGCTCTTTTTCTCTCTCTCTCGCGCTCTCTCTAGGCCTCTGGAGTCATGTGTCAGTAGTTACGCTCAGTCTGTGCCTGTTCCAGTGCCGACGCAAAAACTCAACTACCAGAGGATGGAGCAGAACCTACAAGTGTCTGACAGGTTGGGTTGATTTATTTTTCACTCTCTTTGACATGAATTAGAGACATAAATGTGCTTGTGATTCCCTTATGCATCAACACATGAGATCTGTTTCTCTAATTTCAGAACAGCAGCACCTGTACAACACGTGCCAACATGTGGGAGAACCGGGTATCTACCATCCCCACAGGGTAAAGAAACCAGCTCACTGCAGAGCTGTGCTTTGATATGCATACTTCACTTATAGAGGAAGAGACTCTAACTGTAGTTTTAGTAGGAAGCTGGAAATAACAGAAATCTTTTGCAAATCCATCTGAATCAAAATATATTTTTTGAAAAACCTTAACACATTAATTACAAACATCAGGAAAGGTCATGGAAATCATTTTTGTTTTTGTTAACTACACTGCTATTAAAAATTATTTTCGATAATCGAAATGAATCTGAAATACAATACAAATATTAAATGAAAAACTTTGATCAAAATTAGAAATGTTGCTTTGAGAGCTAACTAAAACGAAAAAGCTAACTGAAAACTACACACTGCTAAAATTGTAAAATAAACAATTTTATTAAAAATGTGTTAACATTTTTAACTAAATAAAATAATTAAAGCTATATAGAACACATATCACATAACAATTCAAAATATTCAAGCTAATTCAAAAAAAAAAAAATATATATATATAGGAGGCTGTGTGTTTTTGTAGATCATGTAGAGAGTGCTGACGTGTTGTTTATACCTTTTTCAGTGGGAAATGTTCCTGAAACACCCAATCAGCCTGAACCTGTTGGCAGTAGGACAGGGTTGCATGCTGCAGGTAAAATACCCTGTTTCACTGCATATCGATTACATTTTTAAGACTTCTTGTTCCAACTTTCCAACTGTTTCTCTTTGTCTCTCAGATGTGTGTAAACAGCCTGGTCAGGTCTCTCCTCTCTTCACTGATATCACAGCCATGGACAAAAACCAAACCCACAGACTCAGGGGTCATCGACACAATCCAGAATCCGTCGTGCACAGAGTGAGTAACCGTTACATAACATTACATAACATACATAAACATAAAAGAACAGCTCCACTACCATAGTGAAGAGGAAGTCATTAGATTTAGCACAGAGCTATGTATAATAGATGATTACGTCATTTAAAATGCATTCATCTGAAAAAGTAATATTTTAATTAGCAAATTAATATTTTATTCAGTGAGGGTGCATTAAATTGATCAAAAGAGACCAATTGTTATAATGTTACAAAAAAATTTTATTCTTTGTGAACCTTCTATTCATCAAAAGATCCTGAAAAAAATGTATTACGGCTTCCACAAAAATATTAAGCAGCACAACTGTTTTCAACATTGATAATAATAAAGAATATATATCTTGAGAACCAACTCCACAAATTAGAATGATTTCTGAAAGACCATGTGACACTGCAGACTGGAGTAATGACTGCTGAAAACTCAGCTTTGCCATCACAGGAATAAATTACATTTGAAACTAAAATAGAACAGTTATTTTGAATTGTAATATTTTACAATATTACTTTTTTTTATTGTATTTTTGCAGCCTTAGTGAGCATTAGAAACTTCTTTCAAAACATTACAAAAATATCTGAACATGAGTGTAATTTGCATTTTGTCAGAATTACACTTTTATTGGAAACAAACTTGCTATATATGTGACTGCTCTTCATTTCATTGGGATCTGTATCGACGGCCCATCTCCGGTCAGACTCCAAGTACAGTGCTGGTTCAGAGAGGCCTGATCACCCGAAACAAAACCATGTCTGACCTAAAAGATCTGGCACTGTACCCGGCTACAGGGCCCCGTGTGCCACTTCTCAGGCCAGCGGAAAGAAGGGACACAGTCAAAAGGTATTAGTCAACTTGGCTTTAGTTCAGGGTGAAGAAAGCTTGGGAGTTGTGACACAGTAATAATGATTTTATTTATTTATATTTTATAATCAGCACTGGAGTCACTGCTGTGATATGATTGCTGTTAGATGAGTTTGTTCCCTAGAGCTGTGTTTATGGGTCATTTGTGTTGTAGGTCATTAAGTACCGGCCGTCTCTCAGATAAGCTGCTGAAGGCTGTGTTTGGACATCAGTTTGACAGGGGCAGCTGTGAGAGCTTAAATTCAGAGAAACCCATGGACACAACAGGTGTGAGCTCAACGCTAACAGTGATGTTAGCCATTGCTGTTTTCCACCGAAATGAAACCTTGATGGTTTAACGTTTATCACAATTTTTATACAACAAAATTGCAATTACATTTTAATTTTTTTTCAAATCATGCAGCCCTATCACTGAGCTTTTCCCAGGGTTCCCACAGGGAACTATTATTGTTCAAATCTATTCATTGATGCTCGGGATACAAAAGGAAATTCACAGCTTCACAGCTTAAAGAAAGCAAATCATCTTTTCTTTTCTTTCCAGTAATCGCAAATGACTAGAATGATTATTGAAATGTTGTGGAAAATCACTGATATATTTTCTTTATGTCTGCAGTTAGTCATAGATAATGTTTTTTTTTAAATGCCATCAGGCACTGTTCTCAGTGTATCTGCTGTTAAAAATGTAATTTTGTCCTAATCTCTCTAGCACCCCCTGGAGGCAGTGATGGCACAGAGCAGGGCTCAGGCAGTCCTGCTGGAGTTGTGTTCATTCTGGGCTCTCCTGAATATGGACACACACCTCCTCATGCCACTCGACCTAGACGCTTCTCAGGTGACCCTTCCATTATTTTACTTAATGAGACTGAAACACAAGTATTGTGTTTGCATGTTACAGTATCTGTTAGACTCACAATGCATTTTCAATTCACTTCATTTGCTGTTGAAGTGGGCACTCTCAGCCCAACAAGCCCTGGCTGGACCTACGGTCATGTGCACGAGGCTTACAGCTCGCCTGACAGTCTGCGCTATGGTTACACAGATGCCATGGCAACAAACCTATGCGAGGGTGTGGCCTTTGTGCCACCTGAACTGCCAGAGGAGACACTTATGGAGGTAAAATAATTGGGCTATACATTATGTATGAAGGATACAGTCATTCAGACAGTCAGCCAGGTAGTTGTCATATTAAAATAAACCCAGAAAGGTTGATCAAGATGGTTTTGCGTCATTCTGAAGGGGTTTATTTTGTGATAATGACTGACTGACTGCTTACCAAATAAATGAATATGATGTATTGGTTAATTGTATAATTTAGATTAAATAATTGTATTATGTGAGAAGATGATACGAGAGACATTAAACTAGCACAAATATGTAGAAAATTAATGGGTGGGGTCAATGGTCTGTTATACAGTTTATCGGCCAAAAATACACTACTGTTCAAAAGTTTTGGGTTATATTTTTGAAATGAGTCTCATGCTCATCAAGACTGCATTTATTTGTTAAAAAATACAGTAAAACATTAATATTATGAAATATTTTTTACAGTTTAGAATAACTGTTTTCTATTTTAATATATTTTAAAATGTATTTTATTCCTGTGATGGCCAGCTGAATTTTCAGCATCATTACTCCAGTCTTCAGTGTCACATGATCCTTCAGAAATCATTCTAATATTCTGATTTGCTGCTCAAGAAACATTTCTTTTTATTATCAATGTTGAAAACTGTTTAATGATTTTGTCAAAACTGATAAATTTTTTCAGGATTCTTTGATGAATGGAAAGTTCAAAAGAACAGCATTTATTTGAAATAGAAATCTCAAATAAATTATAACATTAAAAGTGACTTTGCGGTCATTACTGAATTAAAGTATTAATTTCTTCCCCCCAAAAAAACAAAACTTGCTGTCCTCAAACTTTGGAACGGTAGTGTATATGACCAATCAGAACTGAGTATGCTGGAGAGCTGTTTTTTTTTAAAATTGTTGTTATTGTGGCACCTGGTATGATGTGCTGTGATTAGGATTGTTTCATCGATTATTTCAAGATTTGATGTCCTGCTCTTCTTCACCACAGGAGGGGCATACGGACTTGCTGAGCCAACTGCGCTTCATTTTAGCCTTTTCCCACTGCATCACAGAGATCGCTAGAACAAAGGACAGTGGGATTGAAAGGAATATGGCAGTTGATGCTTCATTCTTAGAGCAGAGTGTGGTGGCCGACCAGGTCAGCCTGCTGAGCCATGAGTGGAGGTGAGATACAACTCAGTCACACATAAACGCATACATGTTTTATGTGTGATGTCTGTGATATTAAATGATGTACATTGTGAGTGATGTGCACATGTGTATGTAGCTCTGCAGAGCAGCTGGTCCTCTATATGAAGTGTGCTGAGCTGCTGTCCTCTGTGCTTCACACAGCGATGGCTGGGATCAAAGAAGGCAAACTCTTCCCATCAGGATCTGTTAAACAAGGTTAGTCATAGAAAGTTAGAAAACTAGAAAGTTCAAAAGAACAGCCTTTATATAAAATAGAAATATTTTGTACCATCGTAAATGTCTTTACTGTTGCATTTGATCAGTCAAAAACTGCATATACTGTAATTAAAGGGGTCATATGACGTTGCTAAAAAGAACATTATTTTGTGTATTTGGTGTAATGCAATGTGTTTATGCAGTTTAAGGTTAAAAAAACACATTATTTTCCACATACTGTACATTATTGTTGCTCCTCTATGCCCTGCCTTTCTGAAACGCGTCGATTTTTACAAAGCTCATCGTTCTGAAAAGTGAGGTGTACGCTGATTGGCCAGCTATCCAGTGCGTTGTGAATTTCTCAAGCGTGTGATGGAAATGTTACGCTCCTTACCATATTGTGATGCCATGTGTGCGACGAGTGCCTGTGCTGCGGGCTTTCACATTGAGCAGCATTAACTACACAGAGCTGTTGTTCACAGGCAAGCTGCGCAAAACCACGTTCATATTCGCGCGAATTTTTGCGCAGCTCGTCAGTGAACAACGGCTCTGTGTAGTTAATGCTGCTCAATGTGAAAGCCCGCAGGTGATGGAGATTTACCGCTGATTACAGAACCGGCTTTCTGACAAGATGTGCATTAAATATCGCATGCGATTTATCGTGCAGCCCTAGCTGAAATGTTCTGGACCAGTGTTGTAAATACAACTTAACCACTGATTTCTAGTTGTGTCCTCTTTTGGAAGGCCACACAAATTAGTTTCGCTTTCATAACGAAACACACAGCGTCTTCACGACATGGCGGCAGCAACAATACTACAGTGAGAATAAAAGTTACGCCTTCTTTCTTTGCGTGAACATTTGGGCGGTGTTATGCAAATCTTCCCACATCGTGAAGTAGATATGTGGGGGCGTGTTAGAACGAGCCATTTTAGGTAGGTGTGGTTGTCTCTTAACTTGTATAAAGAATATCTCTTTGGATTTGAGACTTTTGTCTTTGCAACTTTACAGATACAAAGAGAAAGGAAAAATTGAAATCGCATCATATGACCCCTTTAAAACTTTCATTCTATGTTATGTTGTTTGTTGCACTTGCAGTAGTACATAAGCTGAACGAGTTGTATAAGAAGAGTGTGAACTCCTGCCGTTCTCTCACTGAGAAACTCCAGCTCTTCATCAGCAGTAAACAAAGATTGATGGACCGCATCAACAGCATTACCGCTGAGAGACTCATCTACACACACACCATTCAGATGGTATGAACATATTGCATTATGTTTCTTATAATATAAGGAGAAACACATCAGTATCATATCACTAATAAAGAGTATGAATTGCATTCCTTTCTTATGTGATCAGGTACAGACGGCAGCACTGGATGAGATGTTTCATCACGGAGAAACCTCTGTAGAGCGATACCATAAGGCCTTACTGCTGATGGAGGGCCTGTCCTTAATTATTACAGAGACTGCAGATCTAAACAGTATCAACAAATGTGAGTGTGACACACGTTCAAAAGTTTGGGGTCAGTACGATTTTTTTCAAGAAATTAAAACTTTAGCAAATATGCATTAAATTGATCAAAAGTGACAGTAAAGACATTTTTGGTATGAAAAAAAAGATTTCTATTTCATATATGAAAAGTATTACGGTTTCCACAAAAAGCTCAACTGTTTTCAACATTGATAATAATAAGAAATGTTTCTTAAGCATCAAATCATATTAGACTGGCTTCTGAAGGAGTGACTCTGAAGACTGGAGTAATGATGCTGAAAATTCAGCTTTTCTGTCACAGGAATACATTACATTTTAAAATATGTTCAACTACAAAACAGTTATTTTAATTTGTAATAATATTTAACACTATGACTCATCTCTGATGTACGTTTTGTTTGTCTGTTCTATAGGTAGACAGTGTATTGAGCGGCGGCTCTCCTCCCTCCAGCCCAAAGGATGTGTGTGATGAAACCAACAACAACTACATCTCATTTCATCCCAGTTGCCTTTTGAAATTCTGTAAAAGGAAAAACTCATACTCGCTCATTAAAAATGTGATACTTGGCTTCCAAAGCCAGAAAAAAGGTGAGAAAAGATGTTTTCATAATAGACAAAGATGAAATCTCTATTGATATATGTGTATAAACAGAAGCAACATCTATGAATTAAACATCTATTTTGTTCACTGTCAAAGAATATTGAGTGAAACAGAATCAAGATGGCATCATTGGTTGAATAGATGTCTTGTTTAAATGCTTTGACCTCTGAATCTACACCAATGCATGATGGAACTTAATAAGAGATTAATTTAATCTTAGTACTACAATGTTAAAGCCAGTGTTGGAGTCTGAATGAGTAACAGCTTGGATGCGTTTCATTCAGTCGTACCAAAACATGCCCGTAGCATTAGTCTTATGAAGTTACATGGAATGATCCTGCTTTTGATGGACTTATTCTGCATGTTTTTTGCATGGTTCTGAGGAAATTATAGTTATCGGCTGTATCTGAAGGGAATTCAAAATAATGAATAATAATTCAACTTCTGTAGCAACCAAACCGTTGTTGAAATAGCAGTTGGCGGTGGATGTGTAGTATTCAGTGTTACATCTGTATGACTCTAATGTGGCAATTGACCAAAATTGTGGCAAACCTTTGTTGACCTATTGATATAGACTGTCAGTTTCATATGTTGTCATATGAAGATGGGAAAAAATACTTGAGATTTGAATTATATGAACTATCATACTGTTAGTCATACAGTGGTGTGAAAAGGTTTTTGCCCCCTTCCTGTTTTTATTTTTATTTTTGCATATTTGTCACACTTAAAAGATTCAGATCATCAAACAAATTTTAATATTACACAAAGATAATGCAAGTAAATGAAAAATGCAGTTTTTAAATGATGATTTCTTTTATTAAGGGAAAAAAGCTGTCCAAACCTGCCTGGGCCTACGTGAAAAAGTAATTGCCCCCTAAATCTAATAACTGGTTGTGCCACGCTCTGCAGCAACAACTGCAATCAAGTGTTTGCGATAAATGGCAATGAGTCTTTCACATTGCTGTGGAGGAATTTTGGCCCACTCTTCTTTGCAGAATTGTTTTAATTGCATAATGTGTTGCTCTTTAAGCATGCTTCACTTTGTCAGACAGTGATTATTTCTATTCTATTTAAGTGATTTCTTGATTCAACAGGTCTGGCAGTAATCCTGGGTGTGGCTAGTGAAATTTAACTCCGCTTTCGAAAATAATGTGGTTAATTGCAGTTCTTTCATGATTTAACAGGAGGGGCAATTAATTTTTCACGTAGGGCCACGTAGGTTTGGACAGTTTTTTTCCCTTAATAAATGAAATGATCATTTAAAAACTGCATTTTGTATTTACTTGCATTATCTTTGTGTAATATTTAAATTTGTTTGATGATCTGAATCTTTTAAGTGTGACAAATATGCAAAAAATTTAAAAACCAGGAAGGGGGCAAAAACCTTTTCACACCACTGTATGTGTGTGTGAAACAGTGAAGCACTTTATAAACCTATTTGCCTTTTGGGTGCCTGAAAAGAACCACTGCAGAGACAAGCCTTATGGCTCATTTCGGGTTAATTAACACCTGAAAGTCAAAGGAAATGCAATACAAAGACAGTCAGTATCTTGTGTGTAGCATTTTATATTTATCTGTTTTAGCTGTCAGTCTGAAAAGGATGTTTTAGTTTTCAGTTTGCTTTAGAATCTATTGCAAGTAAAGGACGTTTGCACAATTTGCTGGGATGACTTAGTCTTTGGTTTTTGTAGTGATTTGAGAGTGCCTTAAATGACCTAGCTTGTTTAATCACTCTGGACACTCTGAGACTTGCAATCTGTTATACTTCCAGCATTTTCATATCATATTCATTCATTACTTGCACTATTTTTGCATTTTCCAATGGCGATAACTCAAACTCTCTTTTTTTTTTAACCCTATCTGATAATAAGTTTCATATCAAGGTGTTTTTAAGGCATTTAGTCAGAATTGTGTGTGGTAGAATGGTTGTGATAGATGCACATGAACATTTTAAAATAACAGTGATGTTAAATTGAGGACAATTAAATATTTTGTATATGTTGTTGTTACAATATTTATGAAGTTTTCTGGTATTTTTGTCTTTTTATTTCCATTTTCAAAGCCAAAATCAAACATATGTGCAGAATGCGTGTGGTATGGGGGTGTGTAATTGAATAAATTTCACTTTCATATTTACTCTGTGTATGTTGATTCATTTCGAATTATATTACGTAAACTCTTGTCTTTAAACAGTAACTAGAGTCGTGGGGTCTAGAATTAACTCAAAATTAAGAAAATATTATTTCCTGGTCAATTATGCTGGAAATGTTCAAAAGATTTTATGTTGCCAAGTTTAAAAAAGCGTGTGTTTTAAGGCTAATTCATATGGTTAAAAATACACATAATTTCTACTAATATATTATATAATGCTTTATTATCAACAAGTAGCATGTACAGTGCCATATCTCACTATATAACAAAAACATTTCACATGCCTCAACAAGAAGGAACACGGAAAAAGAAAAGGAAAAAAAAGAGGGTATATAAACATCAGTTTACAGAGAAATACATATTATACATATATTTACATTTCCATAGGATATTACAATGCAAATTTTAATACAGAAAATATACTTTGCAGGTCAGCACCATTATTTATTATTATTGTTTTTTTTTTATATATATATTATGTGAAAATGTTAAAGGAGGAGCATATATTAATCGTTTTAATTGCTTTACAATTTTTCTACTAATATATTATATAATGCTTTATTATCAACAAGTAGCATGTACAGTGCCATATCTCACTATATAACAAAAACATTTCACATGCCTCAACAAGAAGGAACACGGAAAAAGAAAAGGAAAAAAAAGAGGGTATATAAACATCAGTTTACAGAGAAATACATATTATACATATATTTACATTTCCATAGGATATTACAATGCAAATTTTAATACAGAAAATATACTTTGCAGGTCAGCACCATTATTTATTATTATTGTTTTTTTTTTATATATATATTATGTGAAAATGTTAAAGGAGGAGCATATATTAATCGTTTTAATTGCTTTACAATTTTTCTACTAATATATAACTCCCAACCCATGCAAGTTAGTAACTCGTGCTGCAAGAAAACGAAGGGAAGCGAAGCCCACGGTAACCCCGCCCTCACACACACGTCACGCTTTCTTCTGTGACGGGATTGGGCAAGAGCCCGTCAGTCAAGGAAACGTCACGCTGTGAGTCAAGTGTTTCCGGGTATCCGGAGAAGAAAGAAAAAAAAATCAATCTCGCCATGTTTCACACAGAAATATCTGTCAAACGCTTATAACGGTTTTATTGAGCTTTGTGTTCGTGAGAGGGGAAACACGCAGGTGTTTTGTCGCGTAGACTCTGGAGATAGAGCTACAGTGGATGGTCGGAGCGCGGGACGGTGATTTTACAGTAAGTGGCGCGTGTTGATGTTTGTGTTTAGCAGGCGAGCTAATGCTCAGCGAGCGGAAACTCGAGCTTATTCTGCTCTGTATGTTCTACTCCACTGCATATACTTAAAGAATACACACGGGTATGTTAAACGTGTTCTCACTGGATAAGCTAGAGTGGGTGAGTTACTCACTATGTCAGTCAGCCTTAAGAGCAGAGAGGGCTTTGCTAGACGTAAACACCGTGCTGTCAATCCCACAGTGGGCATTATTCCTTGCTAAAATGTACCTATGGTAACTATAACCCCTCCCCCAAAATACTATAATTACTAGTGTAAAAAATAAATAATATGGGATCTGATTCAAACAGAGAAAGAATCTGTCACGGGTTTTTCTATTACTTTTTTTTTTTGACAGTGACAAAAAATATATACATTTAATGTAATAACAGCACCTGTAGTAATTGCAAATAGTTTTTGCCGAAGCTACGGTCACCATGGGGAACTTCTGTGAGAGGTGGAGTGGATGACAGTCGATAGCTAATCGATACAGTGTTAATTGTATTGAATGGTCAGGTCAAGTCAATTTAATTTGTATAGCGTTTTTCTCAGTGTACATTGTTTAATAGTAAATCAAATCATGATGTTAATGTTTAATATTTCCGTATCTTCATGCCATACAGTGGGTACCGAAAGTATTCAGACCCCCTTACATTTTTCACTCTTATATGTTTACCATCCAACCTGACAGAACTGGAGAGGCTCTGCAAGGAGGAATGGCAGAGGATTCCCAAATCCAGGTGTGAAAAACTTGTTGCCTCTTTCCCAAAAAGACTCATGGCTGTATTCGATCAAAAGGGTGCTTCTACTAAATACTGAGCAAAGGGTCTGAATATTTAGGACCATGTGATATTTCAGTTTTTCTTTTTTAATAAATCTGCAAAAATGTCAACAATTCTGTGTTTTTCTGTCAATATGGGGTGCTGTGTGTACATTAATGAGGAAAAAAATTTAACTTAAATGATTTTAGCAAATGGCTGCAATATAACAAAGAGTGAAAAATTTAAGGGGGTCTGAATACTTTCCGTACCCACTGTATAAACAATCAAGATAATATTTGCTATATTGTCAGTATACTGTATGTATAGATAGTTGTTTGTTTGCTTGTATGTATACTGAATGTATAGATATTTGTTTTATATTGATTTGTGAATATTGTAATGTTGTTTTAGATTAGAATATGTGGTGTGTGTGTGTGTGTGTGTGTATATATATATATATATATATATACACACACACAGTTTCTACATTCAAACCCTTGTCCTTGTAAATCGCCTTGGATGAGTGATAGATTTAGTAGATGAAAATAATTATTTTCAATAGCTGATACTGATATTTAGACATCAGGGTAATCAATATATAGACAAGAAATTGTTTACTATCTATTAATAAGGTCATTATATGAGGATGAAAATCTTATAAGGCTGGGTATCGATTCAGATGTCCCGATTCGATTCGATTTCCATTCGCAAGCTTTCGATTCGATTCTCGATTTTTTGATTACATTCAGTGTATATAGTTTTAATACAAATGCTATTGATATTTCAAAAAAATGAACAGTAAACATCAGTTTACAAATGGTGAATGAATAAAAAGAAATTAAGAACCACATGCCTGTATTTTTAAACCTATTCTTTTTTTGTATAGGGTCCTTTTTTAAACAATAATAGGGCCCTATAAAATGTTCTTATTTTTTCTGGTAATCAGATGAAGGCATAAAACATTAATTTAATTGATCCTAATCAAATGAAAATTAAACCCTTTTATTTTTTGGCAAACGACGTGCTGCACAACAGAGGTTTACTGTTAAAATTAAAAAGAAATCAGTTGTGATTATTCCTTTAAAAATAAAGATTTGTTCATATTTATTAGCAGTAGTAGCATTGTGTCTTAAGACTGCTAAATAGTAATATATTCTGTTTTCAGTTTCTTAACGTTAAACTAAACTTTTATTTTGATGTGTTGCCGTGAAGAAATTCCAGCTGCTGTGTGTGATATGACGGTAGTTTTCTCAAATGAAACGGTAAAATGCTAATGAAGTGACTCTCAGAGCAGCTGCAGATGACATTCGTGTTCATATCATCATATAGTGAGACGGCAGAAGCTGAAAACACCACGAGCGTCATCCGCGCTTTAGTATGTGTGTAGTAAACAAAACAGTGCACCGCACCATACGCCATTCATTAATTGCGGAAATCATGACGCCTTATGCGTGATATCAAATGCTTCCGCAGATTTATAGAATTACTATAGCGTTTCACCTGAGCATTGCGAATCACGCGTATGGCCATGATAAGTGCTGAATGAATGACAGGCTTTCTGTTGTAACATCGCGCAAGGTAAATAAGGGTGACATCTAGAGGAGAAGACTAATGATAAGATTCACGTTAATCAGATCTTGTTTTAAATTTGTGCTGAAATAAATACCGGAAAAGATTGATTCGCGGCTTTGTGAGAATCGATATCGAATCGACATCATTTAAAAAAACTATTAATCGAAAAATCTATTTTTTTTTTGCCCAGCTCTAAAATCTTAGAATTACCAATTATTGGTCTATTATAGGGATAGTTCTCCCAAAAATTTAATTCTGTCGTTACTCACACATCATGACTCGTGTCTTTCAACCTATATTAATTTTTGTGTTCTTCGAAATACAGTTCCACCAAACCTTTCATCCATCAAAAAGTTCATAAAGACATTGTACAAGTAATCCATATGAATCTGAAGAGAGACAATAACTTTATAATGATGAGCAGATCTACCTACGGCTTTTATTCACATATAAATATTGACCAACGCACATCAAAATTGGTAAACAGAAGCTCAAACAGGCTTGCATGACGTGAGAACAAACGTCATTGGTTATTGGGCATCAGGTAAGCATAGGGCTGCACGATTAATCGAATGCTATTCTCATGAGCATCTTGTCAGTAAAGCCGGTTCTGTGATTAGTAGTAAATCTCCAGCACGTGCTTTCAGATGGAGCAGCATTTACTACACAGAGCCGTAGTTCACTGACAAGCTATGCAAAATCGTGTTCATAATCACAGACGATTTTATCGCGCGATTATGAAATCGTTCGCGATAATGAAAGCTGTTTGCGTAGCTTGTCAGTGAACTATGGCTCTGTGTAGTAAATGCTGCTCCATCTGAAAGCAAGTGAAAATACCACATTTAATAACATGTTTTTACTCCAAACTCACTTCATAACATCAGTCGAGTGTTTGAAATAAATCCTTCTGTGAGATGATGTGGTTTCTTACACAGAATAAGTACTTACACAGAATAACATATTTCATAGTATTCTAAGCAGTGATAAAGGCTTATCACTTATAAGGCCTTAAAGGATTATAATAAAAAATTATAATAAAATGAACTCCGATAAACCATATATTGTTGTAGTCGTGTGTTTATTAGTCATGTTGAATTAATGAAAGCAGTTAAATCTTCTGTTTATTCAGCAACCGCTATAGGGATTTCCTTGGTTTCTTCTGCGAGGCGTATTTGGAATTTCAGCGTGAGAGCGCCCTCTTGCTTTCGGATGGAGATTTACTGCTGATCACAGAACCGTGCTTCACTGAAAGATACGCATGACAATCGCAACTTCTGCCTAATCGCGATTTATCGCTACGTCTGGGTATCGACTTTTTAGGCACCGACCGAATTGCCTCAATGCCATCGAGTATCGAAAAACGTCTTGTTGTTCGGTACCAAATTTCGATACCTAAGGGGTTAATCTCATCAGCGTCAGTGAGCCAATAAGCCTGCAGCACTTGCCGGTGTGTTCGACTAGAGGCGCTGCGCAGATCGATCATCCGAAAGCGCACAGAGCAGTCTGCTCTCTTTAGCTCTCGTGGTACTGTAATACCACCAGTATAGAGTAGCGCGGGAGTTGCGTGGAGTTCCGATCATATGCAGATGTCCGTTCATACTAACGTTACACGACCGAAAGCGCGTGTTATGTGACCATTCATGCAAACTGTAGCATCATGCTACATAAGACAATAAATAAGATTTATATTCCGCTTTTACTCAAAACTCACTTTAAACCACCATCGAGTGTTTGTAATAACTTTCGATTGCCGTCTAACAGGGCCGGATTTACGCCTTGCTCAAGACATCGAGCAAATAAATATAACAAATAATAGGGTAAAAAATGACAAACTATTTCCATGTCTTCCACCTTTTTTATGTACGTTAGGCTACGGAAATCACGTTTTCTTTCTCCCAGTCTCTCTCACAGACGCAGACACAGTGCAGACACGCAGAGACACGAACAGAAACTTCTTGTCAGCGCTGCACCGCAAATTTATTAGTAAAATAGTTTCGCAGCTGAAAAGCTACATGACATTTCTCAGTAGCGAGGTTCATGAAGGAGTTTAACCTAAAATGTTGGTTACATTTTGTTCCTTTGTGCAGTGGCTCAGGAGATGAGTCTTTGAGTTTGTATAAACATCAACAAGCTGAAAAATAAAACCAAAGTTTTTTTTTAAGATAATGTAATCTTGTTAAAATTGATTTCATAAAATTGGTATCGAAAAAAGTATCGTTCAGGAACCGGTATCGAAGTCAAGGTATCGATATCGAAAATTTTTGAACGATACCCAGCCCTATTTATCGCCTTTGCGATTTAATTTTGATTAATCGTGCAGCCCTAGGTAAGCACATTTGAGCTTCTGTTTACCATATTTAAAGAATGTTTTGGAGCAATTGACTTTCAGTGAAGGGACAGAGAGGGTTATTCAGGTTTGGAATTACGTAAGGGTAGGTAAATGATGGCAGAATATTCATTTTGTGTGAACTATTCCTTTAATTGGCCTGAGCAATATATTGGTCTGTCTCTACAAATTAGACTTTTTCCATGGTAAATCAGACTTTTTCCATGGTATGAATTTTGATATCTTTATCCAACCGAAATATATTTTTATGGTAGAAACATTGCACTGTTGTCTCCCCACAGAGTGTCTTTTAATACAATTGAAGTGGCACGCAATGCACCATGGAGGAGGCCCACCAAATGTGCAGAGGAACCTTCAGAGATCCAGGTCCTTCACTGGATCTGAGGCGGAAGACCAACAACCACAGCAGCCCCAAAAACAACAGCAACATCAGCAGCCCATGCCGGTTACCCAGCAACAGCCGGCAAATGCCAATCACCCCCAGTCACCGGTGACATCTTTTGCTCCGTCCGCCAGTCCCTCTGCACCACAGTCTCCCAATTATCAAATCATTATGAGTCGGAGTCCGGTCACAGGCCAGAATATGAACATCACTTTACAGAACGTGGGACCAATGGTTTCTGGGAACCAGCAAATTACCCTTGCCTCTCTTCCTCTCCAGAGCCCAGCATCCCCTGGCTTTCAGCACCAGACTCAGCAGTGGAGGTTCGAGTCCGGGTCTTCATCTTACGTGGTGACATCACCCTTGCCCCAGACAATGCAGCCTCAAAGTCCTACCCAGCACAGTCCGGTCCCCATACAGGCTGTGCCCAGGCCGAGCGCTCCTGGGTCGGCTCTAGGAGTGTGCGGTCAGAGCCCGACAAGGTTTGTGGAGGCAGGTATAATGGTTAGGCAAATCAACTTGGGCAGCCCTCCTGGAAGTAGTCATTTTGTGTACCAGGATGGAACAGGATTGGCTCAGCTGGCTTCCACAACAGCTGGAGCCGTTCAGCTAACCTCACCTGGGACACCAGGGGCTATCAGAGAGAGATGCCTGTCCCAGCCGCACTCTCAAACCGGGGGCACCATTCACCATTTGGGGCCGCAGAGCCCTGTTGCTGCAGGGGCTGCTCTCCCAACATTGGGCAGCCCTGGGCACATCACCACCTCCAATCTGCCTCCTCAGATCAGTAGCATCATCCAAGGCCAGTTAGCGCGTCCCATGATTTTTGAGAAGACCGCGCAAGGCGTTGTGGCCTCTTTTGGGGTCCCATCTGCAATCCCTCCATCCAGCCCATCCAGGAGCAACCCTCCCCAAGGCCTCGCCAACCAGTCCCTGACTCCCACCAGCATAAAGAAGATGCAGCCGAAGAAGCTGGAGGAGATTGCACCCTCAAATCCAGAAGTGGCACAGTTGAGAAAGCAGTGTCTGGAGCATCATGCAAAGAAGATGGAGAGTCTGAAGGAGGTGTTTAAGGAGTACCTGATTGAGCTCTTTTTCCTGCAGCATCTGCAAGGGAACATGATGGACTACCTTGCTTTCAAGAAAAAGCCTTGTGTGCCTCTCTTCACCTACCTGAGGCAAAATGATCTTGACCTTGAAGATGAAGAGGAGGAGGAAGAGCAGTCTGAGGTCATCAATGATGAGGTAAAAAAAAAAAGCGCTTGGCTCTTACCTACAATATATTTTCAATGATGGCAAAGTTAAATTTTTAACAGCCGTAATGGCAGTCTTCAGTGTCACATTTCTTATTATCAGTGTTGAAAACAGGTGTGCTGCTTCGTATTTTTGTGGAAACTGTGATACATTTTTTGAGGATTCTTTTGATAAATGTTTTTGAGGATTGATGTAGTGGTCGACCGATATGGGTTTTTTGGCTGCCGATGCCGATGCTGATATCTTGGAAAGCAGGGTGGCCGATGGCCGATATAATTGTATTTATTTTAATTAATATTTAAGAAATTTTAAATAATTTGAAAATGAATTAAAAAATAAATTTGTAAAATAAACGTATTTATACTTTAAATGTCAAAGTATTTTTCACAAATAAATAAATATTTAATAAAAATATAATTAAAAAGGAAGTAAACAGTGTAACCAACAGGGCACTCAGTAATCTGGGAAGTTTGTGTGCATTGGGATTTGGAATAATATTTTTTCAAATAAAGCCAAGGTAACACTCATTTTACATACAGCACACAGTGAAAATTACATGAATATGACAGTGGGCAAAAGCATGAAGCACAGCATAATTAGAAATCATGAGTTTTAAGTTTGTCGATGGCGTGTCTCCAGTGAAGCTGAACTCTCCTCCTGTCTGCATTCAATTTGCACGGACCAACCGTCATGCAGAAAACACGCGATCATGCAGGATACAAATGCACACTTCACAAGATCTCACAGCTGGATCCAACTAAGTTTGCAAGATTTTTTTTAATTAAATGTTCATTAGTCATTCAAAGATTTGTTTAAATGATATAAATGCGTATTTGCTGAATGCTGACGTCAAACGAGAAAGTATTATAATATTTGCCTTTCTATAACTAATAATATAAAAGCAATCATTATATATCATATACTTTTTTGTATACATTTTAATTCCTTTGTTTAACAGTTCTTTCTGATTATTAGACAGATTTTAGACAGAACTGTTAACGACGACAGCGAACAAGGAGAATGTGAAAACTGTGTGCGCAGGCAGCGCCTTCAAAATAAAAGTCCTGCCTCGAACTCATCGGCTAAACAGAAAAACTTATCAGCCGATGCCGATATTTGAAAAATGCCGATATATCGGCCTTGGTGATATATAGGTCGACTACTAGATTGATGAGTAGAAAGTTCAAAAAAATTGCATTTATTTGAAATATAAATCTTTCACATTAAAAAAAAGCTTATTTATTCAGAAATTAATATATTTTAAATAAATTAATAATAGTATATTTATAATAATAAACGAATCCAGATTATAAAAATTATCATCATGTCTTTGTGACCCACAAAACAACTTTTCTTTGTTGGGAGCTCTTGGTCTCTTTTTCATTTGGAAATATCAAGATATTTTCTGTGGCTTTGTATCTCTCATCTGTTTCTATGACAACCTCTCAGGTGAAAGTAGTGACTGGAAAGGATGGACAGACGGTGACTCCTGTTGCTATAGCTACACAACTCCCACCCAACGTGTCTGCAGCGTTCTCTGCTCAGCAGCAGTTCCAGGTGATGGAGGCTTCCTTACTAGGAACGTGAAGGAGGAAAAATTTTTTAACATTCAGTATGATAGCGCTTTCATTATGTGTTTTGACAGAATTGTGACATTAGACGTAATCAGGCAAGATTTTAGTTAAGGTGAGCAGTACAGTTTGTGCTCTGTGTGAATGAGATTCTCACTTTGGATTGTTTTCCATCTCATAGACCCATGCCGGGGTGGCAGGTGGCAGCATCTCTAACTCTGTGGACATGGAGGCTTTCAAGCGGCAGCAGGCCATGGCACAAGCAGGTAGGGCGACGTCGACAAAGGGCAAAGGTGGAAGCCTGTTTTGTTTTCATTTGCTTCTTTATTCCCCCTTTTTGTTTTCTACTTTTCTGTTTGCTATTCTTCCTTTTTTTCCCTCTCCTTCCAATTCGCTTCTGCTTACTCAGTATTCCAGCATCTTTTCCCAGCTCTGTGTTTGAAGCCTGTAATCCAGCTTCGGAGCTTCCCAACAGCTACCTGCTGGTGTGCAAACATCATTGCCATGTGCCAAGTGTTTTTTCTCCTTCTTTTGTTTTTTCCTGTTCTATATCTCATTTTTTGGGAGGGAGTTTTTTTTTTATTTATTTTTTTTGCGTTTTGAGGGTATTGTGTGTTTTGCATCCCAGATCAGGCTAAGAGGTCCCGGATGGAAGTGGGTCGGCATGGGATGATATTCCAGCACCCCGCTGTAACTCCTTTAGGATCTCCCGGCATTCCCCTCCAGCAGCTCATGCCTACAGCGCAAGGTAGGAGCGTCGTTGCGTCTCGGGACAGATCCACTCTTGTGACTGTTATTCAGTGCTGCTGGAGGTCAGGGTTCATTCCAGAGTTCCCAAAGTTGATCCCACCTTTTTTCCAAGCATCATCTTCCAGTTGTTGATCCACTTATTGGGACTCCATTCAGACTTAGCCCTCATTTAAAATCTTTCTCAAACCATCAGAGGGACAGCTGGGCAGAAGATACAGCTGAAGATCAGTTTGGAAGACATCACATTTTTTCATTTATGATTTGCCCATTAGTTCCTTGAGCCATTCACCTCATCCGTTTACGTTCTTCTTTGCCATAATGGCATCTCTGATTCCATCCAGGGCTCATCGGATGATGCGCCCCAAACTGTCTACTGGGATGTCCGATTTAACATAGAGCTTGTTTTGCGTTTAGTTCTGCGGTTTATAGTTGACATCTCCTCTCCTGATCCTGCAGAGCTCCTCCTTCACTTCCCTAAATTTACTGTATTGCCTACTTGGAACCTAAATGCACTTTCAGTCTTGGTTCCCTTCATGTAGAGAGTTATTTTCATTTCTCTTTATCGTCACCATATTTTCAGTTCCCATCTTCATCTTCGGTTTCCATAACATTCCTTCATGACCTGATGGTGCAAAAAGTGACGCTCAGGAAAGGTCTTATAAACAAGCAGGTTAATCTCAGAAAGCTTCGGAGTTGACAAATTGACGTATTTGGTAATTTAGCTCATGATGAAATGCTAAAAGAGGGAGATACTTAGTGTTTACAGCTGGGCTTTACATTCTTCTGTGCTAAACTTCCATTGCCATTCCTCTGCTATACCCTTTGCTTTGTTGTGTGGCTTGAGTATTAATGCAGATGTTCCAAACCTTATCTGCTTTATGCATGTTCATGAAGTGTGTTAGTGCTTCAGTTGTGTCCTTTACCTTTCTGTGCCTTTTTTTTTCTTTTGAGTTCTTCTCCTGTTTTTGTTTTATTTTGTTTTCTTGATTTGTTTCTTTTTATATCTAGTCTTTTCCACTTATGGTTAGTTCAATGGTAATGCATGATTACTTCGTTCTTCATAGTAGTATTCTTAAGCATTGAACGAAATATTTTGATTTTCACATTTACGAGTTCTAATTTTCATTCATTAGAACATGTAAATCTTCCTTGATTTTTGTTATGTAGTCATTGTGACATGAATAGTAGTTTTCATTAATATTCCCTTTTCTCCAGCATTGTGTAGCACATTGCTGGTGATTCATAACATCATACCCATAAAATCAAAAGAAGTTTAGTTGAAATACACAAATGGGTAAAATCATGTTTAAGTTCTACTGCACCCTACAATCATAATAGATTTCTAGATCCATAAAAGTTGCAACACTAATTTCATGACAATGAAACATCTTAATTACTGTACTGTATTACAGTGATTTATTTAAAATTTTGTAATTGTTTTTTTATATAAAAATCAACAAATTGCAGGCAATTTAACATTTTACATCAACAAAAAATGTGTAAATATTTTTAAATGTTAAAAGGAAAATTACATAATATTATGTAAATTATCTTATTTAATAATAATTATAAAATAAATCATAAATATTATCTAACATTAAGGAAATGTGAATTGGAGTGAAATGTTCTTAATTGTTATATAATATTTCAGTTAAATTAATAATAATACTAATCTTTGTATTTTTCAAGTATTATTTCGTATGTCTTCTAATTTTCTAATTTGCGGGTGAACTATGACTCAGACATGTTCTTTTCACTTTATATTTAAAAACAATTAAAATGACTTTAGGTATCAAATTTTATATAAAGTGTCAAATACAACATTTTGAATTTTCAGTATGGGCTTTCGAGGTGTTTATAAAGAAATATTTACCACAAAAAAAAAAAGGTCCAGAGAACGCTGTAATTTTGGTTGAAATGCAGTCAGTAAACAGACATGAGGTAAAACAACATATCGTGTTTCCAATTCTTCATTTTCTCCTTCTATGGAACTCTTCCTTGCCCTCCATATCCCTCTATCTTTCTCTCTTCTCTTTCCTCTCTCTGCTCTGTTTCCTTCATCTTGCCCCCCATAACAGGAGGCATGCCCCCAACCCCACAAACAGTCCAGATTGGTGGGCACAAACAGAACCAGCAGCAGTATGACCCGTCCAAAGGTCCCCCTGTCCAGAATGCCGCCAGCCTCCACACGCCACCCCCACAGCTTCCAGGCCGCCTCCCCCAGGGTGGGCTCCCTATGGCTGGCCTGCCTCTCTCCCTGTCCCAGGGCCAGGCCATGGTGGTGGATCAGCAGGCCCTGGTGGCTGGTGGTCAGCTCCAGGTGAAGGTGCAGGGTGCCGGGGCCGTGCTGGCTCCAGTCAACCCACATGCGCAGCTGCAGTCACAGCTTCAGCAGATGCCGTCAGGGCTCCACCTACAGATGCAGCAGTCGGTCATGCAGCCTGGACAGGCAGTGAGTATGCTAAAAGACATTTAGGACATTTAGTGCCACAGAAACCTCACTAACCACATTGAAAAGTTTGTCTTCCTTGTTTAAAAAAGCTTGTTCTGCTTACGATGGTAGTAATAAGTATGTGAGCACATTTCTGATTGCCACTCTAGCCTTTGGACTATCTTAGACAATCTTAAACAATCAAAGCATGTTTTCCATGTTTTCACTAAATTAAAAAGAAGGAAAAAACACATTTAGCAAAATTGCCACACAGACAATTCCAAGAATATTTTTGAGGGATAATGCAAAGACTTGAATCAACTGGACAAGTCATCATATTTTCACTTGAATTGACTTGTTTTTTTTGTCTTTTTTCACTGAGGAAAATGTAAAACATTTATTTTTGTGACGTTATATTTTAAAGGTTTATTATAAGTAAAATACAGTCAAAATATAAAATCTTAAATGATCAGAGCATTTTTTTTCCAAACTTTTCACTAAATTAAAAAGGAAATATTTTATTTTGCCAAATTATTTATATACTCTACAGCAAGAATGCACAGAACTTAACAACATTTCCCTATTCATATTTTTACCAAAACATTTTGTACATACATAAATGCTACACAGAAACTTCCAAGAACATTTTTGAGGGATGATGCAAATGAAATAGAGCCTGACTGATATATCGTTTAGCCGATATTATCGGCCGATATGAGCCTGTCGCCGATATATCGGTATCGGCAAATATGCCGCCGATATGAATTTTTTTTTTACAGAGCATATAACGCAGATAAAATGCTTGAAATGGTGTAATTACTTAGTTTGTCCAGCTGAGTACGCTCCATTGTTTGCTACTGGTGACATGGATGAAATGCTTTAAAGCTTAAGTCTATGGAAAACCATTGAAACTTTGAACTGCCATATCTCCGTAACGCACCAAATTCGGGGATCCCTGCAGCTCGAGGAACCCTCTCGAACGCAAATCGAGTGTACGTCTCGAGGCCCTCTTTTGAATGAGACCACCCCCGCGTCGATAGCCCCCGGGGTTCGGGAGTTATGGGCGGTTAAATTCGTGGTCCGGCGCCGACTGATCTAGCAATCCCGTGGGGCGGCGTTCGAGAGGGCTCCTTGAGCTGAAGGGATCCCCCGAATTTGGTGGAGATCCTCCGGCGCGTTCGCGAGATAGTGACACCAGCCAGCACTTTCACTTCAGTAAGGAGGTCTCTTGTTCAGGCAGCAGCATTCAAGCGTCGACCATAAGTGCCCCGCGAAGTGGACTTCACATGATATTCCTCCATGATTCCAGTTCCAAGGGAACGTACACGTTGCATTCAAAGGGCATTAAAGTGCGCGAGATGTGAATTTATATATATTTACAGAGGTAAATTGTCACACTTCACACTTCTCTAGTAAGTTCCGTCTGTGTGTGAAGACAGTAGTGCAAATCCGTGAATTAATGTTCCAAAGTGAAATAAACTTCAACGGAATAAAGTTGAATGTAATTGAATTGAATTAAAGTTAACTTTACTGTTCAGTGCACTGATGTCAGACTCATTTTGAATAAAGTTTATTGATAAATTATTAAAAGCCCTGCCTCCATCATTACATATCTTTGGCACGTTATTATAAGTGTTTGATCATTGCAAAAAATGTGTTAATGTATATATATATTCTGTTTATGTATATACTGTATTCTATATATAGTACCAGTCAAATGTTTGGACACACGAATGGGAAAGTGTCCAAACTTTTGACTTGTACTGTACTATATTATACACAAAGTATATCGGCAGATATATCGATATCGGCCTTTTTTTTTTACTCCCAAATATCGGTATCGGCCCCAAAAAACCCATAACGGTCGGGCTCTGAAATGAACAGTTGCAATTTGAAATAATTTATGAAAAATTAATCAAACTCTAAAGCCATTTTTGCTGCTGATGTTTTAATCAGATAAATTAAAACATCTGCTGCATAGAAAAAAATCATACAATATGTCTGATGAGACTCTCTTAATAGGCAAATAAAAAGTGCAATAAAGTCATCACAATATTCAATTTTATATCAACAGCAAAATCATTATGACTATATCATGAATGTTCAATATATAGCACAGGCCTATTTACAACAGTAGATTTTGTTGCAGTTAATCCTTTCTCTCTTTTTCAGACTGTGGCACTTGTGCGTCCTGGATCAGATTCCTCCCAACCTGCCCAGCGTTTGATGTCCAACTCTCTCTCCAACCCTGCCATGTCTCCTGCTCTTTTAACATCCCTGTCCTCTCTCCCCTCCTCACACCCTTCTGCCCCGGTCCGCACCAGCAGTACTGGCCCCAGCCTCTCTCCTGCTGCCCAGTCCAAACTTGCTGTCACGAATGGCACCACCGGGCTGAAAATGTCCAATCTGGGTCAGAGTCCAGTTGGGCAGAACTCACAGGAATGCTCTCAGGACAAGCAAGCAGAACAAGCCAAGCTGGTGAGAATTCTCAGAATAAGATCTTTTTTAGTATGCATTAAAGTAGCACATTTTGTAGTATATGCTGCCTATAATGTCTGACACAAGATTGTAACGTGTCTTTGTAGGAGAGTCATGTGCACCAACGCATTGCAGAGCTCCGTAAAGAGGGCCAGTGGTCAGCCAGCCGCTTACCCAAGCTGCAGGAGGCCTGCAGGCCCAAATCCCAGTGGGACTACCTGCTGGAGGAGATGCAGTGGATGGCTGCTGACTTTGCCCAGGAAAGGCGCTGGAAGATGGCTGCTGCCAAGAAGGTGGGAAGAAACACACTCAGTCTAGATATATCGTTTAGCCGATATTATCGGCCGATATGAGCCTGTCGCCGATATATCGGTATCGGCAAATATGCCGCCGATATGAATTTTTTTTTTACAGAGCATATAACGCAGATAAAATGCTTGAAATGGTGTAATTACTTAGTTTGTCCAGCTGAGTACGCTCCATTGTTTGCTACTGGCGACATGGATGAAATGCTTTAAAGCTTAAGTCTATGGAAAACCATTGAAACTTTGAACTGCCATATCTCCGTAACGCACCAAATTCGGGGAGCTCGAGGAATCGAGGAACCCTCTCGAACGCAAATCGAGTGTACGTCTCGAGGCCCTCTTTTGAATGAGACCACCCCCGCGTCGATAGCCCCCGGGGTTCGGGAGTTATGGGCGGTTAAATTCGTGGTCCGGCGCCGACTGATCTAGCAATCCCGTGGGGCGGCGTTCGAGAGGGCTCCTTGAGCTGAAGGGATCCCCCGAATTTGGTGGAGATCCTCCGGCGCGTTCGCGAGATAGTGACACCAGCCAGCACTTTCACTTCAGTAAGGAGGTCTCTTGTTCAGGCAGCAGCATTCAAGCGTCGACCATAAGTGCCCCGCGAAGTGGACTTCACATGATATTCCTCCATGATTCCAGTTCCAAGGGAACGTACACGTTGCATTCAAAGGGCATTAAAGTGCGCGAGATGTGAATTTATATTTATTTACAGAGGTAAATTGTCACACTTCACACTTCTCTAGTAAGTTCCGTCTGTGTGTGAAGACAGTAGTGCAAATCCGTGAATTAATGTTCCAAAGTGAAATAAACTTCAACGGAATAAAGTTGAATGTAATTGAATTGAATTAAAGTTAACTTTACTGTTCAGTGCACTGATGTCAGACTCATTTTGAATAAAGTTTATTGATAAATTATTAAAAGCCCTGCCTCCATCATTACATATCTTTGGCACGTTATTATAAGTGTTTGATCATTGCAAAAAATGTGTTAATGTATATATATATTCTGTTTATGTATATACTGTATTCTATATATAGTACCAGTCAAATGTTTGGACACACGAATGGGAAAGTGTCCAAACTTTTGACTTGTACTGTACTATATTATACACAAAGTATATCGGCAGATATATCGATATCGGCCTTTTTTTTTTACTCCCAAATATCGGTATCGGCCCCAAAAAACCCATAACGGTCGGGCTCTGAAATGAACAGTTGCAATTTGAAATAATTTATGAAAAATTAATCAAACTCTAAAGCCATTTTTGCTGCTGATGTTTTAATCAGATAAATTAAAACATCTGCTGCATAGAAAAAAATCATACAATATGTCTGATGAGACTCTCTTAATAGGCAAATAAAAAGTGCAATAAAGTCATCACAATATTCAATTTTATATCAACAGCAAAATCATTATGACTATATCATGAATGTTCAATATATAGCACAGGCCTATTTACAACAGTAGATTTTGTTGCAGTTAATCCTTTCTCTCTTTTTCAGACTGTGGCACTTGTGCGTCCTGGATCAGATTCCTCCCAACCTGCCCAGCGTTTGATGTCCAACTCTCTCTCCAACCCTGCCATGTCTCCTGCTCTTTTAACATCCCTGTCCTCTCTCCCCTCCTCACACCCTTCTGCCCCGGTCCGCACCAGCAGTACTGGCCCCAGCCTCTCTCCTGCTGCCCAGTCCAAACTTGCTGTCACGAATGGCACCACCGGGCTGAAAATGTCCAATCTGGGTCAGAGTCCAGTTGGGCAGAACTCACAGGAATGCTCTCAGGACAAGCAAGCAGAACAAGCCAAGCTGGTGAGAATTCTCAGAATAAGATCTTTTTTAGTATGCATTAAAGTAGCACATTTTGTAGTATATGCTGCCTATAATGTCTGACACAAGATTGTAACGTGTCTTTGTAGGAGAGTCATGTGCACCAACGCATTGCAGAGCTCCGTAAAGAGGGCCAGTGGTCAGCCAGCCGCTTACCCAAGCTGCAGGAGGCCTGCAGGCCCAAATCCCAGTGGGACTACCTGCTGGAGGAGATGCAGTGGATGGCTGCTGACTTTGCCCAGGAAAGGCGCTGGAAGATGGCTGCTGCCAAGAAGGTGGGAAGAAACACACTCAGTCTATGATATTAGAAATTTCTCAGGCAGTATTAACACAGCCGATTGTATGTTTATCTGATGTAGAGGTCGGATGTAACCTCAATGTATTTGGCCACATGTTCTGGTGCCAGTGACCATTCATTATGGAGCAGGCTAAAATTCAACTTTGATTTAAAGTTAAACAATCTCTCTCTTTAGCTTGTGCGCACATGTGCGCGTTACCATGTTGAAAAGAAGAAGATGGAGGAACGTGAGAAGAGGGAGGAGGAGATGAGGCTGCGGCACATTGCCAGCACCATCGCCCGTGGGGTTGACTATTTCTGGTCAAATATTGAACAGGTACATTTACATACCATTTATACCAGTGTTAAATTAGTATTATAATAGTATTTATTAGGGCTGTGTATCACCAGCAAAGTCACGATACGATACGTATCACGATACAGAGGCCACGATATGATATGCATCACGATACATGACTGCGCTAAATTTCACCTCAGCAGAATTTAGAAAACAGCTGTTTATTAAACACTGCTTACTATAGTGCCATTTCTAACTATTGGCAGAGCAGGCAGTTGACCTCTGCATTATGAAGGGCCTCCATAACTGTACCACAGTACAAGATAGGTAATGGCATATGTTTCATGTTTACATTGTGCACTCCCCACCAGGTACAATATTCTGATTGTTTGCATCTTGTTTTTAAGCCCATAAATAATAATGTACTTGTTCTAATAAATTTGTATTGTGATGTATTCATTCTAATATGTCTAAAAAATAATTTACATTGCTGGTAGGTTATCATTGCACAAATTAACACTCTCTCTACAATAAAAAAAAAAAATGAGAAGAGTTCTAAACTAACGCGCTGTCTTCACTGTATCTAACGCACACACGTTTAAGGCTGATTTATGGCTGATTTATACTCGAGCGTCAGCAAGTTCGCTTTGAGTGCGTGCAACGTCGTTTCGCGTGACGGTGTGCACAACATTTTTTGTCACTTTCCGCGCAGCTCCGCTTCCGAAGATGCACGAGTTCAAATCGACTCTAGCCGAACATGCACGTCTGTGCCAGCATTTGTGTGAAACAAGCGCAGTTTGATGTTAAGTTCAGTCACACA